ATTTATACTATTGATACAGTAGAATTCTTCATCTTGCTAACAAAACACCTTGCTTTGGGATAGTGTAAGCTGTAACTAGTGTGTAACTGAGCTAGCCTTACACAGAGCCACAACCCCTGACACCCCTTATCCCACTCTGGTTGTTTTCAAGATGCGCGTAGGAGTTGGGAACATGCTGTAAGACAGTGTTTCATTACTCAGTAAGTTTGTCCCTGTAAGTGACTAACCTGTTTTTAGTCTCTTTACAACCACAGTAGTGCAGCGGTATTGTAATTATAAAATTGTCTAGTTACCTGTGCGGTACACAGTATGAATTATTCATTGTTTCATGGACCACAGCATTTTGCCCAAACTGCCTTACTATGCTAAAAAAGAGTTGTGTAAAGGTGTGCATTCAGGATATTTTGGTTCTTTTTTTTTCCCACAGATCTCTCCCGAAGCTCTCCAAAGGAGCTATTGAAGCCTTGAAGCTGCCGCGGCATGAGCTGCAGCCGAGAAGCCCGCCATCCACCTGCCAGACTGTGAGTGTGGGGGTCTTTGCATTGTTGCAACATCACAGAGGCTTAGAGTACCCCCCATCCCTTGGCTCCTGCTTTCATGTGCTACCACTTCTCAGTACCTTGTCTTTTCATCTAGCAGGGTGTGTGGCGGAGTGCCCCACCACTGTGCCGGGACTGCTGGCTTCATTAAGCGGTTGACTTCCAGTCGATATCTGATGGTGCATCTTAATCAAGAAGCTGCAGGCCCCCGCAGCAGGAACTAACCTTTCCTTCAACTGGCTTTTTAGCTTGTGCAATCACTGCAGCTGTTTTCATTATTAATCTAAGTAATTAATAATCCTTGTGGATAAGTATAAACATACAAGTATTGCGAATCATCCAAAGTGGAGAATGATGTAGAGAAAATAAAATAGCTATGGGCGATGTGTCATGCATATGTCATTTGTACACTCCAATATTTAGCAAATCACTATTGATTATGTTCCCTGCCGCCACTTCCTTCCTGTGCCAATAAACCAGATGGATGTGAAAAGCATACAGAGAGAGAACTGATCCACAGATCAGACAGTGACAGACACTTAAGAATGATAGAGAGAAAATGTGTCGGTGTTTATGTGCTCTATTAACGCCCCACCAGTTGCGGCGGTACTCTCTCTTATTACCTTTGTCGCAGCCATTCATGCCCATCTTGCTTCCATCTGGACACACGTTGCACTTCATGCCCTTCACTCCTGTCTTGCAGGAACACAGACCCGACATCTGCTCGCAGTCGTCCCGGACGGAGCCTGTGGCATCGCAGTTACACGCTGCCATGGAGAGGTAGAGGAAACACGGGAAAAAAAGGTTAATGAGAAAAAAAAAAGTATCAATTAGGGAAAATGAGAGGATGACGGATATGAACAACTTGGTTTGTAAAGCGCACAAACTGTGTTTGAGGCAACCTTAGCCTCTGAACTTCACTTCGGATATATCTATGTCTGAGAGTCAAGGGTTGGGAATAGTTCAGCCAGCCTTAGGGGCCACAGAGGGAGGAGGGGGTGGAGGAGGACGTAACAGAAACTCAAGAAAACAACCCCAGGGAAGGACATCAACCCCATCATGTTCCTAGAATCAATGATGTGTATTTTTTTTCTCTCTCCTCTCCTGCTGAATCTGGTATTGGTGTGCAGTGTGCTGTCTGCTTGCTGTGGGTAAACCTTGTTAAGGTCAGGCCATGGGTGAGGCACCTGCAGGCTTCCTGCTGTTGACTGAAAATGCTCTGTGGCGTTGGGAGCGTATGTCCTATGATACCTCAGCGGCAGGACACGAGCCGGTCACCATATTGCATTACACCAAGACAAACAAGGGGTCCTGACCCCGTTCTTCACTTGAATACAAATGCAAACACTCCATTCAATACAGTTTTGACAGGACTAAAGGACACAGTAGAATCTCTTTCTACAAAACCTGCCGTCAAATAGGTTAGCTGTATATTAAACGTTAATAGTTCAGCTAGTAGGTTTTACTATTTACTGTCTCCACTGAATTCAGGGATATTAATCGTACAAGTAGAGATGGCTCAGTGGTATTGCTGTCAATTCAGTGAGAAATTTATTTTCCCGCTACGGCTGAGAAATATATTTTCTCTCTTACCTCCAGTGAAATCTAGCTGTGTAGATTTGGTTTTATTTATACAGGTTTTGAGATATCTGTCTCAAAAGGTTTTTGGCTCCCTCTCAGTACAATGAGGTGAGTGGAATTTTGTTTTGTAAAAAAAAACAGTAGTAGTTCCAATATCCACAGAGAGATTATCTGGAGTTACTAGATTATCTAGAATATAGAATTGTTTAATGTATTGATTTAAATTTTTATTTAATATAATGCTTTGATGACAATTTAAATAAACTAGAATTAAAAAAAGTCCATTCACCCCCAGCAGAACCACATTCTTCAATCCAAACACTTAAACATTCTGCCTGACACCACCACCTGTTCATCAGATAATCATTCACGCACACATTGCCCACGGATAGGACTTCGACATGTAGACAGGGATGTCAAGATCGACCCACCAACCTCCCGATTGGTAGGCTCAACCTCCTGAGCCACAGCCGCTCCACAATAATTCCAATAATAATGACAGACTATTGAGGTCACAGCAGAAACCTCAGAGAGGGGATATCTCAAAACCAAATAAAGCCACAACTCTCTGCATGGCTAGATAACACTTCAGGTAAGTGAGAAAAGAAGATTTCTTTAATAATCTGTGTGGACTGACCCTTTATGAAAAGAAGGTGCAAGGAAGCTATAACCAATTTTTGGGAAATAACAAAAAGCAGCATACATACAAATGAGTGCTCCTACTGTTCACAGATGTGAAGAAGTGATTCCTTACGTGTGCAGCCGCTCATGTTCTCTGTCACGATGCCACGGAAGTTCCAGAAGCCCGGCTCACAGCGGTCACACTTCTGTCCCCCCACGCCTGGCTTACAGGAGCACTGGCCGGTGGTTGGATCACACGTTCGCTTGTAGGAGCCGTAGACATTACACTGACAGGTACCTGAGGAGAGCACGGGTGTCACTTTTTACTTCTACTGGAATTCCTCTGCAGTACATCACTGGTTTATGCTTTTCTAACTTTGAAAAACCCCTATCATCACATTACTTACAACTGCTGAATGCTGCTTACTGTGATGGAAATTTTGTATTAAAGACTTATGCTGGGCTCAAATGTTGGGTAAGCCTTATTCCACAAATAAAAAGGTGGATAAAGTGTGCTTAGGTGAGTTTCCCCTTTACTAAATCTCTGTATATCCCTGTTTCCAAGTCTGCATTTTCTCCATTTGCACTGTATCCCCTAGCTAACGGCTCGATGCAGCATTTTCTCTCCCATCTGTGTGCTATCATTCGTCAAGATCATCAGATGAAGAGATTTTTCTGTTGATACGGTGCAACATTATCATAATTATTCCTTGGATTAAGATGAAACGTTTTCAGCTCTGCAACTTCAGTACTGTAATTGCAGTCAAGGACAATAAGTCCCATATGCTGAAATAGCCTGATAGTATCTACATTTTTTTTTTTTTTTTTGGTGTGTGCACACAACAAACTAAGGACATATTGAAGTTGAAAGGTCGACAGGGTTGTAGAAGAGGACTTACTGGGACATCCAGCCAGTCCGACTCCCAAGGCAGTCGTTGTGTTGTCGTGGCAGCAGCCGTACACAGACAGACTGCAGTGCTGGGGTGCTGTCAGCTCAGGCAGAGATGTGGCTGAAATCGCTGATGAGGTAGGAAGGAAAAAGGGAGGAGGGAGATGGGAGATGGCACAAAGAGAGACAGAAGAACACCAACATTTGAGTGATTACGGTGGGGAGGGGTTTGGTGGGTGGGGGGAGGAATTAGACAACACAATCTCCGAGCAACATGTAACTTTTTGCCAACAATGAGATTGGCTCGAGGGGCAGAGGTGGAGAGGCTGGCAGCCAGCTTCAAGATAACAATTCTATTTGCTACTTTCTCCACAATGGCTCAAAATCAGGGGGAAAATGATGCTATTACCTCCAGTGAAAACAAACAATGGCGTTGCTGGTGAATGTGCAGCAGCTGACATTTACCACCTACTAGGAGGCATGTTCTCTTCATTTGTTCTTGTCTAATATTACGGAATTGCACTGCTGCCCTACAACCCTCCGTAACAGAAAAGAAAAAAAAAAGAAAGCCCGCTGCATAATGTGAAGGAATGTGCCAAGCAGTTTCTGCCTGCTCACAGTGTGTGGAGAGCTCCTTTGTCTCAGGATGCACCAGCCTTCAAACTAGTGTGACAGCTCTGAATAAAGAACTACATTCAACAAAATAAAAACAAATGTGTTCCCAAAAACCTGGCTCCTCGCCAGAAATTGGGAGAGAACAACAAAACACGCGGTGGGAGGAAGAGGGGTTTCGTTCGATGGCCGAGGCAAAAATATCATTGTTCAGATTCTCTCCAGGCTTTGGAGTGAAAAGTAAAGTTGCAGAGATAGAAAGCAGAAATCTTCCCCTCCCTTTTTTTTCCCTCTCACTGTCTCTCTCTATTCCCCTCCCGATCTCTTTTTCTTGTGTTGCTCATTTGGAGTTTGGAGGCTGGAGATACAGGGGCCATAAATCACACTGTTACTGGTGTGGATATGAGCCTCAGCCTAATGGTGATGACTCGGCTCGCTCTTTTTCCAGTGCTTTCCCACTCCAGAGATGGGCTTTGGACACAGTTCATTTAACTTGCCACTTTCCAGTGCTCCATTCAGCTATCTGTGCTGAGCCTATTAGGACAAGAGGAACTTTTAATTTCATATGTTCTTCCCCCCTTCAAGGGTTTTTCCTCTTCAGTGGCCATTGTCCGCCACAATGCAATATTACTCTCACGTGTCCAAGGTCTGCTGCTGTGCTTTCTCCGCTGCAGTGATTGTAGCGAGCCTTTTATAGTCCAGCAAGGGCACATCTGCACATGTTTGCCTGTCTGGTAAACCAGTAAGTGTTTCTTTGGATTTTACTGAAATCCCTGACCCAGATTTGAGTTTGCAGGCAGCTACAAAAGATGGTTTGAAATGCTATAAGAGGCAAACTTTACAAACGTGCATGCAGCAGATGACATTGTTGACACCATATGCAAAAGAGGTAATTTTATTTATTTATTTTTTAAAGAAAATCAGAACCTCTGAAAAAAACAAGGTTGCTTTCATGCTCAGCTACTGAGAGCTGGTGTGTTTTGATAAGTTTCTAGAGTTGAGGTCAAATGAAGTTTCTCCTCACATAGCTAATGTGGAGGGCAGTGAAATTCCCAAGATCTGAGTTTTTCCATTTGCCAATAGGAGAGGAGAGCCCAGAGCTCCCGTACCCATAGAGGGCTCTTCAAAAAAGGATTGATTATCCATGGATGGTAGAGAAGCGTGACAGTCAGTGCCCAAGGAGGCCAGCTTAGGAAGGAGAAGAATCTGTAGGGATATGTGTGAAAACACTGGCAGCTCCCTCTTTCTCACTCTCTCCATCCTTCTCTATTTTAGACCCACGGGGAATCAAACAGGCTGGAATGATCACACGAAATCCCTTAAGTGCCTTTTGCTCTGCTCCCTGGCCCTGTGCTAGCAGCAGAGCAAAAGCTCTTCATTTACCATAGCCATGGAGAGGAAGACGGCTAACCTTTGCTACTTAGCCACTGATCTGACAACTGTTCTGGCAGATAAATGCCATTCATTTACATGCAAAGAGAGAGGTTTTTATATTAAAGTAAGTGGGGTAAAGTGGTATCCCGAGGGTTAAGAAGCAAGCTTGTGAGCTCAAGTTTAATGGTTTAAGTTGTCAGAATGTCTGGACAGGTTAAAGTGAATCATTATAGCTAACAGCTTGATTAATACACATGCCCGTGAGAAAGATTCTTATCTCTGTACACTAGCCAGCCCCAGAGGATCGCTCAGTTTCAAGATATGAACAACTGCTTCGCCGAAAAGTCACAAGTGTGTTAAGAGAACCTTCCCTGAGCAGATTACACAAACACATCATGTTTAACCTTGACCTTCTTCACTTCATTGGCTTATGGCTATAGTGGTCACATTGCAGAGATACAAACAGCAGTGCTGTAAGAATCATAACCCAACCACAGACTATTACTACCCCATCAATGGATGTAATGAGTGGAGAGATGGGATGTCAATGACAATGAGTCTTGGTGAGGGTGCTTCTGCGCACTGTAATGACATTAAGTGGCATAATGTACCGACCTGCACAGGGTCCCTGATTTTGAATCAACAAGTGCTCTTGTTTCTCACATCTGGCCTTCTTCAGCTGGCACTCATTGCTGTAGTTTTTTCCATCTGAGCCACAAACCTGAAAAAAAGAATCAAAGGAAACTGAAAATTACACAATGTCTGGTCACGGTCTTCTTTCGCTGATAGTTTGCTCAGTTGTCATCACTTAACCAAGGGAGTCACTTTGTGTTGAAAATTGGTGAGGACGAAGGGCTCTGATGAAATATTTCTTAAACAGCCTTTAACAGATGCAAATGTAATGGGGGATCAGTGTGAGGTCAGAGCAGACAATTAAGGCAGGCCGGAAGAAAACAACAAAAGGCCTAGGTGGTCCTCCCCCAGGAAATTTGAGCGTCAAACACTTCATTTCCTGAATTCTGGTGAATTTTTATCCATCGGTTTATGGTGGAAATGTCTTTATTTAAGTATAAAGGAAATTACAGAATTCAGGCAGCAGGTAACAATTCAAAATATAAAAATGTGTTTATTTTCTTACTGTGCTAATAAACCTTTCTAAAATGGTTCTCATTTATAAGTTACCTTTCATGTTACAAGCTATTTTTCAGAACATTTTAACAAATTATCCTTTTAAAATGTGATAGGGACAAAACCAGCTATTTCAAAAAGTGGTGGGGACATGTCCCAAGTGTCACATCTATGACTTGACCTAATCATTTATCCTTATTCTACCTATCCTTAGCTATGCACCTAAGTTGTTACGACAACCATCTCTTATCATGTGACCAAATTTCCACACTAAGGTCGCATGATGCTGCATCCATGACAATGAAACAAAAAAACATCACCTGAATTGCTAGTGATACTGAAGAAAAAGTCAAATCGTGATGATTAGGAAACAAGATGTAAAGTTATGAGGTGTGCTTTTACAAATAAATGATTTGCATGTATCCCTGATGAACTGTGGAGTGCAGCTCTCATTATGTCTGATGTTTCTGTGTTTCAGTCTGACTGAGTTATGAATCTGAGCAAAACGTTTCTGATACAAATTGCATTAAATGTGTTTAAAGGATTAAACCACATGAGTGGCGGCCGTACCGGGTTGTGGGGAACACTTTGGCAGGTGAAGTCACATACACACCGGTCGTCCTCAGCGTCTTCGTCCCATGAGCCTCCAAACGTGCGACAGCGGTCTTGTTCGCAGCTCTCAATGCCTGAGCCTGACCCCCCTGAGCCGCAGTCTGCGTAATAAAAACACCATAAAGACACAGTACCATTAATAAAACATACAAACACACAGGGGAGATGGCCCTTCATCAGTGCTTCAGGTGAAAAGAGTGTCCTACTTTCATTTCTCTTTAAGTTAAGGTAGCATTTACACATTAGGAACATCACAAAGTTAGTATAATTTACATTTCCCTCAGGCTGGTGGCAGTGCAAGGGATCCAAAGGCACTGCTGGTAGTACAAGATAATGACCAACTGTAGTGAGGGCAAGAGATTGACTAAATAAATTAGACACAACATCTCTGCACAACCAGCGAGGCATCCTTTTCATTTCAATTAAATCAAAGACAAAAAGGGAGGGAATTATTAACTCTGGCCTCCAAGTGTGCAGAGAGAATTGGTGGCAAGGCCGCTCTTTATGGATGCCTGCTTCCTGATATGAGAATACAACTAATTGCAAAGTGTTCTGTAAAATCTAATTATCGCCTAAGACTTTAAAGAAAGTTGTCCCAGCAACTCTTTAACTGTGACCCTGGGAGGCCTTTTATTTATCTTAAAAGTGCACTTCTCTGGATCGAAGGGAGTACGCTACTGATAAAAGAGGCAGCAAGGCCAAACAAAGTCTCACAATCACTGTCCAGGATTTGTGTTGTTTCACAAAACCGTTGTCATTGTTTAGCTGTTGTGCAGACTTTAGAATTGGTTAGGGAAACTTTAGCACGAGGTAAGCAATCCATACATGAAGGGGGAAAAAACCAGCAGGACCGTTTGGGAGTTCCATTTATGAAAAACAAATCGGGGGCTGTTGCAGAGTGCAGGCAGAGAAACCGGGAGGATCCTGCTTTTGAAGTTGCAAATTTCACCTACAGTGGAGCTCCTGAGGGAGATTAGGTGAATATGTGCGAAAGCAGGGAATGAAAGCATCAGCGCGAAAGATAGAGAGAATGTCAGACGGAGAGAGAGGCACCCCCCTGGGCTGGCAGAAAGTTCATTTGAAACAAATTTGTTATTCAAAAAAAAAGGAATGCAGTCCGACTAAAAGCTCCCAGCGCAGATGAGAGACTCAAAAAACATCAGGTAATCAAGGTGTTATTTCCTCTTCCTGTATACTTTCAGGGCTCATTCAACTCGCTGTATTGATGCGCCACTTCTAATGGTGAAATCAATGTCGTAGCGATGGAAGTGCCACTTAGCATAACCCATCTTCTAAAGTAGATTATGGAGCAGGTCACAGTGCAGGGGAGGGGCTGGGGCAGATGAAGCCTGGCTGTTTTTTGATATGGGTCATCAGCAATGGGCTGTGACAGCTCAGAGTAGTCGATACAGTGGAGGGGCCTTCACTTCATTAGCAGTGGATACAGCAGTGGAGCTGTAGATTTGTGTAGAGACCACATCCCCCACAAACATCAGGACTAGTTAAGGGCTCGCTCCATCTCCATTTTAAGCCAGCAGAACCTCCGACCCTAATGCTTTGTCTTGAATTTGCTGTTGTAGCTACTTATCGATTGTGAACCTACAGTCCCAGTTAAACATAACATTTTGTGACGGGGCTAATGTGCTGGCTAATGGCTTGCAACTGCCAGTGACATTATCGCAGGTATCTGAGGGTACTTCAGAAGTCACCTGAAGACAAGAAGTCAGCTGACTCCAGATCAGAAAAAGGAATAAGAACTGAGGCTCTGGCAGCTACATGTATCTGTCTACTGTACGCCAGCTCAGCAAGACACAATAAAAGGGAAATGCAGGAGTCTCCAATTCATATTCTGCTCAGGCCCGCTTACAGAGACGAGATAAATAAATAAAAGAGGTAAGACATTAGAATGGAATAAATAAAAGTGAAGGGGCGAAGGGGGGTCCTAATTAGCTTTTGCTCTTTGATGTTCCCGCCACCCGCGCTGCCTATGAACCTTTCAATTAATACATCCCCAGCTAAGATGGCTGCATCAGCTATTCTCTCCACACTGCCCATCCGTTCCTCTTTACTCAATCATGTCAGAAACGAGAGTCTATTTAGCCAAGGGAGCTCCATTAAGAAGACAGAATTCAGCGGCGGAGAGAAGAAAGGAAATGAATAGCATAAGAATAATGTCCACGGAAGACAGAGAGGAAAAAGCATTACAAGGACTTGACAGTGAAAATAATGAAGAAATGATGGAGGAGATGCTATCGTCAAAGCTGTCTAAAAGTGTGTGATAAAGAAAACAGAGGGAGAAGAAGAAGAGGAAGAGGATGAGGGTAAATAATAGTGGATAGGGAGGTGAAAATGCACGTGATGGGTTGAGATGCTGCCTGAAGATGTTTGGTTGACCAGATTACTTGTGTCTACATCAGTGGCTCCAGGAGTGACCGATATCGTTATGATACCACTGATATCACAACCTGTGCGGATATCAACTTGGACATCCATCATTTGAAACAAATCCTCCCTCATTGTGGCGTGTGTCATGGCAAAGATCGAAGATGGTGATGGCCTTTGGATGAGGCGTGGCACAATTTGCCTCTGTTTTTGTTCCATCTATCAGTTCCTTGTAATGCACGTTCTTGAGGGATGTGACAGCGTATTTTAGTCCAAATAAAGTTCTGCGAGATAGAGAGGGATGGAGTGTCACACCCGGCGGAGGAGAAGGGATGGGGAGTTTGGAGATGGCGGAAGGAGAGAAGAAGTTTTGTTGCCTCAACAGAAGGTTACAAGCCCTGTGATGGATGGACCATGAAGGAAAAATCCGCTGATCTCACTCGATGAGCTCTTTTACCACCCAGCCAGCCACTTTGCTTTTTTTTCATGCCCTTTAACGTCTTTTGGGGCTTTCTTGATCCGATATGTGAAGAGCAGGGTGTGGACCGTGCATCACTGTGTGATCCTGCACTCATAATCTTGTTTATTAAATGTCTATTCAATTAAAAAAGGGCCTGGGCCCCCGTAGGTGATGCACTGCTCTCAGTTGCCACTTTGTCAGTGTCGAGAAAAGAAGCTGAGGCCAGGCCTACCCGAGTGTGAAATTAAACAGGTGATAAATTTCCCTGTATGGCCAACAGTGGGAACACTGTCATTTTTCATTACTGTTAAACAAAAGGCGGAAGAAAACAACTTCCATTTTTATGCTCTGTGGCCCCCTCCTCCCCAACAAGACTAATGAGGATGGTTTTTAAGGCAGGTCTACGTAAGCGAATAAATCACATGTTCACTTCCTCTCCAGGCTTATCTTAGATATGAAGTATAGAGTGAGGGGGGTTGTGCACACCGTTGATGTAGAGCTTTGCTGCTGTCTTCAATAGAGCCAGAAAATACAGTCTTTGGTCTTACAGTGTGACAGACTGCTGTATTACACAATATATACTCATAATTTTGCAGAAACCTACCACTCATACATCTAGGTGGGAATAACTACATCAACAAGGAATCCTTTTTGTATGTATGTAGCCAAAGAGAAACATTACAAGCCAAACACAGATATTTCAAGGGGAAAAACAGCAAGTTGGTTTTGATCGTTTTACAATCACACCAGACTTCCTGTGGAGGGTCTGGGTCACATCTGAGGGGGCTGAAAGGAGCGAGGACAGAGCCTGCAGATTTCACCCCTAGTGTGAAATTTATCGATTGCAGACAATCCCATCTCCACCCCTATCTGTGAAAGCATCGGTGCCCCTTTTGTCAAGAGGCACAATTTTGATGGAGAAGAGTGCAAAATGGAGAGAGAGAGAGAGAGAGAGAGAGAGAGAGAGAGAGAGAGAGAGAGAGAGAGAGAGAGAGAGACATGAGTGGGTGGGATGGCAGGGAGCGATGGGGAGTGGAAAAAAAAAAGATTCTATTGTGTAAGCCTGATGGTTTTCTCTGAATCAAAATGAGCAACTGATGAAAAAAAGCAGGATGTTTAGAGACAGTATGAGAGAGAGAATAAAATAATAAAAAAAAAATGCCATCAGGCACCACAAGCATAGCAATGCCCTTGGGGAGGTGGAAGAGAGCGTTTTCGCCTGATACGAGACAACCAACAGAAAGAGAACAGAGTGTGGATGTGTGTGGTGACAGTGAGTCTGCATCACGGGCATACAGTTTCACATTTCTTCATGCTCCACATACAAAAAAGGTCACTTGTTTCAGTCAATGAAATGATGTTAAATCGACCACAAGAAGCTTTTGCGGCATGATTCTCCTCACGGGCCTGGGGCCAATACGGTAGACAATGGTAGAGAGAAAAAAGAGGGAAAGAAAGAAGAAAAGAAAGAAACACCCCTGGCTAGCAATCAAAATGGAAGAGGATTCCTCTCATCTCTATTTGCTCTGCCCTCCATCTACCCCCTCTTCTCTTCTCTCCAGCCATCCCTCCTGCTGGCAGGTGTAATCTGCTCCCCTTCACACCTTGTCAGAGGATGACTATGTTCGCTGTGACGACCTGGCAGCCACAGGGGAGCTGCAACGCAGCCGTCTACATGACAACCAGAGGTTGGCATGTGGCTCCCTCCAGAGTTGTCCCCGAGACGGGCCGAGCAAGGGGCTGTGATATGCTGCCTCGGTCTGTCAGCGCTGATCAAGATATGATTTGCACGGTGAATTAGACTTCATTTATTTCGAATGTGGAGGAACGACAGAGCTACAGGCGTAGAAATCAGGGACACTCGCATTAAGTGCCATCGGTCACACACTTAAAGGGTTAGATAAAAATGTATAACGTAAATTTACAAATAAAAACCAACATGCACAAAAGAAACCCAGCCCCTAATAAAAGCAGACTGAAGCGGGCTCATATGGTAAATTCTGTCTGCTGAGCTTCTCTTTTTAACAAAAAATACTGTTTCTTTGACTGATATACTTCAGTCAGTCACTAATGCTATTCTTTTGCTCTGTGTTAAGCTACTGTCACTTGACACTTCCTGCAGATATTTCACACAAAGTTTTATGCTTTATAAATATTTTAAAGGAATACTTCACCCACAAATTTATGTATCAATTATACAACACGTGTAACCTTGAATTTTATGCTTGTATGCCTACATGGTGAACGGAGAATCCCAAAAATCCAAACATTCATCATGAATTGAAGCATTCAGGGTCCGCATTTAACAATATTAAATATATATATATCAAAACATCAGTTCACCAACTTAAATGAGACTTGGGTTATACTGCATGAGTTGTGTGAGAGTTTGTAAACAGATAATTTGATATCGTTTTGCAGTTGTTAAAGGTTAAGTGTGTATGATTTAAGAGGATTTAGTGCCTTCTAGTGGTGAGGATTGCAGATTGCAACTAGCTGAAACTTCTCCCAGGCTATAATTCCTTCAATGTTATTTGTTCTGGAGGTTTTCAGCAAGAGCAAAATTCCCACAGAGGTCTCTTTCTCTCCAAAATAAATGGACCTGGTGTTTTAAACCGGTAAAAACACTGAATAAAGCAAGTCATGTTACAAGTCAGTGTTTTTCTGACACTGCTTGTCGCAGACGGGCTTCTAACTGCAGTGATCCACTCCCTATGAAATATAAACAGGTCATTCTAAAGTAGGAAAACACTACAATTCTTATTTTCAGGTAAGTTTCCACTAAATTCCTTTAACACTGTGTTAGTGTTGTGTTTCACTGACAGTAGATTAACACTGAGCGAAAGTTAGACCAACAATAATTCATTGGTTCTGATTTTTTCAGACAAAAGTAAAATAAGAGAAAATCCATGCTAGAAGAGAAGCAGACCAGAAAACAGGGAGGCTCCTTACTATGAAACTGTAAAACATTATAAAATAGCGTAAATTACAAGTATAAGGTTGCCTTTCATTATGATCCTGGTTCTGATATAATTTGCAGGTGAGGTAAATTAAGAGCCTTAATGACAGCTGGGAAGTGAAGTGAGATGCACTTACGAAAAAAAAAAGAAAAAACAAACAAAACAGCCATAAAATGTACAGCTGACCTGAACTTAATCACCCACAACTTATTTCTGCTCATGTTTTGCTGATGGACACGCAGTATGACTTTCACTTCTAGCCTGTTGGCATGCTGCTAGTGGCATATGCAGCCATTATGAAAATCCACAGATGACTGGATACTGTACCACACAGGTCAGTTGATAAAGATAATTACACCATTTCAATGGCCGATTGGTTAACATAATTACACCATTTCAAAGTCCATTTCCTACCTTCATCACAGCTGCCGGGCTTCGCCACATCAATTCTCCTCTTCCGCATGCAGGAGGACGCACGGAGTTCACACTCGTTGTTGTAGGTGGTGCCATCACTTCCACACACCGGAGAGAAGGGCTCGCCTGAGCACTGTGGGCACTCACACTTGTTCTGGACACACCGGGCACCCCAGGCACAAACAGTGTTGCCGCATGTTTCTGAATTGCACACACACACACACACACACACACACACAGCAGTGGGATGGGTCAGAGCATAATGGGTCAGTGCAAAAAGAAGAAACATTCATGGAGTTGTTTTGATGGATTTCATACACACCAGACCTTAAATGCATGTCTCGATTAGATACTTAACTGAGATTTCTCTGGTGCTGTCCTAATTGCCATGCATGCCACTTCCTCTTGTAATATATCCCTCTCTTAAAACTGACATATACACATTCCCTTAGTAATTCTCCATCTGTCCAAGCGTGTTAAAATATGAACTGCCTGCCTGCAGCTGTATGACGTTCCTGTAGGGCTCCATTTGTATTCTTTATACCCACATTTAATTAAAAAGAACTCCATTCACCATGGAATATTTTACCTATGAACATCGTGCATTTTTCTTAGCGTAAACTGATCACCAAGGATTCATGCTTATGCCAAGAACATGTTCCTCCTTTGCTGTTCATAAAGTATGACACATGCTGTAGAAATGTATGCATTACTTACTGCACTCTCCCTGGCTGACCACTCGGAGGTCCATCTGTTGTTTGCAGGCACGCACATGCAGCTCACACTCGCTGTTGTAGGTGCTGCCATCGCTGCCGCACACAGGCTGGTGGGACTCCACACACTCCGATGCACACACACACTGCCTGCTCTGGGCATCGCAGATTGCCCCGAAAGAGCAGTTGGCACAAGCCTCATCTAGATGGAGATAAGGACGAAAGCAAAGGCTCAGTGTGTATCTCTATGTATGAATTTCAAGTATGCTTTTACATGACTTTGGTGGCAAGTCAGCTCCAATAAATACCCTGAATTTCTAAAATATTCATTCCTTTTTACACTTTTATATTTTGGTGTTTGGTAGACTTAAAATGGATCAAATTTATTGTATGACATTAATCTGCAGACACATTGCAGTGCATTTCAAACTCATCTTACATTTCGATGATCCCTCAACTCAATAGAAAGCTGCAAAGGAATCAGTTTCTGCCTGACTACACATCCTTAGCGCTGCATTGTTATTCTTTTTATGCACATATTTACAAAAAGGTACATTGCTATAGGCTGTCAATATTAAAGCAACTTCCATTAAGATAATGTTACTGCGTCACAAAGACTGTGCTAACATGCTATTTAACAGATGCTGTAAACATTTATTTACTTATTATTTTCCTGTGTTTTAACATTCATAGTGTGAACAACAGCCATTCAGCAATTAATTGGTAAAAATGAGTTGTTGTCTTTTCTTTATCTAGCTCTTGACAAGCTGTGTTACTGACAGCTGGTGAAGTGCTTAATGATGCAGTGCAGCAGCACAAATACAAGGAGTGCAGAGATGCAAAGTTTCCATACTGAGTAAAGAATAGCTGTAAAACTTTATTGGAGTCCACCCGAGGCAGACTCAATTGATTTGAAATACTTTCCAAAGGTACACACCTGTCTATTAAAAGGTGTCACGGTTCACATGCATGTGAGAGCTAAAAACCAAGCCATGAAATTCATAAAAACTCTCAGCAGATAGAATTCTACTGAGGCACAGATCTGAGGAAGAGGATAAAAATAAATAAATAAAAAGATGCCAAAGTGCTGAAAGTTCCCGGGAGCACAGTGGGCTCAGACATCTGGAAACACCCAAAACTCCTCCTTCTGGAGCTGAAACTAAATAACTGAACACAAAGAGCTTCAAAGATACAAAAATAGGAGAGTCTGCCAGAAGGACAGGCATCACCGTAGCCCTCCATCAATCAGGACATTATGGAAGAGTTGAGTCCTGCTCCTGAGAAAAAGCCACGTGACAGCCTGGCTGCCAACTGACACTTAAAGGACTCTGAAAGCATGAAGGAAAAGATTCTCTGGTCTGATGAGACAAGACTTGAGCTCTTTGGCCTGGATGCCAATTGCTATATATCTAGTGACAGCCAGGTACTGCTCATCAACATCCCTATGGGGAAGCATGGTGCCAGCACTATCTTCTGGGCATGCTTCTTAGCAGTGAGTACTGGAAAACTGGTCAGAACTAAGTGAGAAAAGTCACACTTTTTCTGGTTGTATTTCTCACTTTGTAAGGTTGTTCATATCTGCTTATAAATATGCTATTTTCCCACCATACTTCAAAACTGAAGCAGGCAGATGATATGTGTATTTTCCTGCCAAAAGACAGCGCTGAGATACCCAAAAGGCTTAGAGAGCTTTTGAGAGTTCCCTTATTAGTTGGAGGATTCACTTGGATCATCTCTTGAGGAATTGACTGCTTCTGGAGTCAAAGTTTTTTCCCCTGAAGAAACAGCAGGAATCAGACATGTTCATGGCACTGAGTGGTGTCACATGGGGGCAGGAAACAGATGAGAAGGCAAACGCAAGGCCTCACATACACACAGGGCTAGCGGTGGATGTGCCTCTCCCTCTGACACCAATTACACCTGGAGGATTGCATTAGCACAGCTCGCTATCACATTCAATTAGGGGCCAGCTAATACCCGCTGCTGATTTAGCACTAATTGAGAGAGGCCAGACTGGCCGCTGGAACTTTCCACATTATTAATCTGTTTATTAGTCTTTCATTTGCTTCATCTCTCTATATAGTGCTGGCATCCACTCTCTCCTCAGATTCAAAGCTTGACTGTGAACTGAATATGGAAATGTGTTACACGTTACATATAGTACATTGCCTGTAGGAGCAATGCATTGTATACTGGTAGAATGACTAATTTCTCTGAAGCCATATTTAAAAATTACATGAGCAGAGCAAGCAGGACCAATTTTTCCTTTAAACCAATGTGTAATTTTGGTTTGGGGCTGTTAGTCATAGTTTGGGCTAGTCCCCCTAATTACAACTAAGGGGACTAGCCAATTTCCTCTTTTCAACACGACAATGCCTCTGTGCAGGAAGCCAGAACCGTAAAATAATGGTTTCAGAGTTTGCTGTGGAAGAACTGAGCTGGCCTGCACAAAGCCATCCAACACTTTTGGGATTAATTGGAACATCGAACACAAGCCAAGCCTCAGCATCAGTGGCAGACTTCACCAATGCTCTTGTTTACTGGTTGGGAGCAAAATCACTGCAGCCAGGTTCCAAAACCTTGTGGAAGGCCTTCCCAGTGGGGTGGAGGTAGTTATAGCTGCATATGTATGCCCATGGTTTTGGAATGAGGTGTTAAAGGGATACTTTGCCAATTTTTAACCAGCTTTGTATCATAACAATGTGGGCAGTATGTGTAAATCAACTATGGTAAAGTTTCCTCCATCTTGCCAGCACCCAGATGAAAATCCGCTGGATGATGCAACGTGTGTCTGAGTTGTTTCCAGAAATGTATTTTAGTGTAGTGTAAGTAGGTGCCATACTGTTTCCTGTATTGTGAAAATGGAGGCTGAAAATACTGAGATCAAATGGTAAAACTAAGCAGCGCTGATCAAAGATATACAAAGATTCTGTTAGTGCTTTGCCTATCACTAGCCTCAGAAGCATATTTAGCTTACTGTTTAAATGGAATATGAGATGTTTTGTTACTAGCTGGCTGCCATATTAGTTTTAGACGAGCAGCTTGCATTATGTCACCCACCAGCGGGAGTGTTTATTGGTCCGGTGCCACGCAGTGCATTCTGTTAGCTGGAGGTTTTCTAGCTCTTGAGCAAAAGTGAATGCCACACTCTTTTTTCTCTGGTTTCTATGGTCATACGGCACCAACATACTTAAACATATTTTCACCTTCCAACTGCATAGAAAGCCTAGTTTTATGAAAAGACCATCTTTCCAGCAATGAAATATTTCTTTAAACAATCACATATCAGTGTAATGTTGGGGTATCCATCTACTTTTGGCCATGTATACTGTAAGTGTAATAATCTATGACTCAGACTAAAAATCATCTATTGTCAGTGATCAGATGTTGCTCCTTCTATACTGCAAGACAGTTTGGAAGTTTTGGCTGCAAAAGATGAAGAGGCTTTAAAATAGCTGGGGGTTTTCTGTGACAAAAATAAATAAACATAAAATATAAAAATGAGGGTTGCTGTAGTTGTGTCTCCTCTCTGGTTGCGGCGGCTATAAATCAGGAAGTGGCGGTGGTGAGTGTTGTCCTTTATCAGGCCCTGTGTCCTGATAGCAGCCTCGCTTCTTTATCAGCTCCTGGCCCTCGCACCTGGCTCTCCACACTGCCTGATCCTCCAGACAACACGCATCGCAGACAGACAGAAAAAGAGGGGAACTCCAGTTCAAAGCCAGGAGCAGAGGGAGAATTGTCACCATTACTGCTAATGTTAAAATGTCCACTTTCTGTCATCTAAGATTCAGTCATCTCTGAGTCTGTCATCACTAATTCTGAGTCCCGGTGAAAAACTTTTATCCCCCTGAAGGCAGACAACTTCACAAGCATAAAATGGTCGGGGAAAAAGTCTGGCAGGCAAGGCATTACGACAGTTTCTAATGTGCTAACATTAGAACCCGGGATCTCTCATCTCATTCAAATTTACTTTCATGTCCACCAATGCACGAATCTCTCCAGCCAAGAAAATATACAGTATAACACAGCGTGTCCAAGATCAAAGTAAGACATTTTAAGATCTTCTTATGCCAGGTCTAATAAAATCTAATACCAGCTGCATCCAAAGCACCTGACTCAGTTCGATTGCAGCTAAAAGTCGGCACCAAATGCAACCTGCCTCTGACCCATAAATGGTGTGTGGAGATGGGCTGAGAATCAGCTATACTTTTAAACAGTCAGGCAAGCTTTGGGCCAGCATTGGCGCCCAGATCAGAGGAGTTAGGACAATATTTGCGCAACATTCATCACAAGCTGGACATGAGTCTGGCAACATGGCCATTCATTTAGGCTGTTGTTTGGCTCAGCCATTTTGGTACGTGGGAAATCTTTATTTCAAAAGCTGTAGTTAAAAAATTAAACACAGTATTTAATTTACCCAACACAAATTGAGGTGTTGAATTTACAAATTAAGTTTGAAATGTTTCCAAAACTTAAGCTGCTCAGAATCAGATATGTGTGTGTCAAATGAGCAGCTTTCATTAGCCATGGAAATTTTAGTATCATGTACTGATGTATTAGAATCATTAGACAATATTGGAGGTCACTCCTTGTTGTAGGTAGTATATGACAGGACAACACAAAAATGCTGTATATATCATAATAATCTCCTTATATAAAACTTCCCTGGATTTCAATTTTTCCTGCCATGTCACTCTAAGTATCAAACCACACTTTTTTCTTTGTCAGAGGACCTGCTGGAATTTAGTCAAGGTCTCCTTGAAGTCCCCTGGAGCTAAAGTTGGAAACTGCTGATATTTGTTCTTGCACTGTGACGGCTTCTCTTGTTGTGTTTGGTGGCAGTGTTTGTGCTTTTGGAAGTGAGAGTGAGAAATAGGGGCAGGTTGGTGTAAAAAGTGGCCTTGAAAGCATGAAGGATTGAGTCATTGAGGAGGAAAAAAACCAAAGACCCTCCAGCTTTGCAGCATTTTGTTGATATCCTCACCGGGAAAAAACCTGAATTGCGGCTGAGGGGGTTTGGGCGGAGTATTACCTCAGGATTAAGCAGAAAGAAGTAGGCTGGTTTATGTTTTGAAGGCTTGTGAACATGCCTGGGTGATAACAACTCCCCTGTCGATGCCTGCCTGGCCGGTACACTATTAACTCTGCCCCCCACTTTCTCTGCTCCTCCTCATCTTATTTACCTCCATCTCCCTCCCTCCCTGCATTTATTACTTTCCCCTCCCTCTTTCGTCTGCCCTCTTTTCACCGCCTCTCTCAGACCACTCTCATGCTGCTGGTGTGACCTATATTTCTTACTCAACTGTGTATATCATTTCAAACACCTGTGGGAGAAAAAAGGGGGAATTTGTTTCCTTTCCTCAAATGATTCCGGTGCCTCTGCTCTCATCTGTTTGGGTAAAGTCATATGAATGGCCCTTTTTCCGGGGCGACTGATATCCAGCTGGGGGGTCTATTAACCGAGCGCACCTCTCCCAGCCCACCTTACAAGGTCGCCCGCCACTCAAATGCAGTTGGAGGAAAAATCTCTGAATAATAACAAATGTCACTCATATCGCTATCGGGTTGCACCTGAGCCATATAGATAACCGCTATTTTTCTAGCCCGCAGGGAAGGAAATGAAATTATGGCTGGGCCCATGAGAGGCTGTGGTAAGCTACACACACACACACACACACACACAGTTATTTTCTACTCTGGCACCTATCACCTCTTAAACTATTGCTACCCTCACCTGTCTCCCTTAAGCTCCTATACTTTAGAGTCTAGAAGCCATAAATCTGACAACTTACACATTATGGCGCGTTTGGATGGAAATAACAAAACACAGTCAGTAAACAAACAAACAAACAAAAAGTTGATGGCTACTTTGGGAATCACATCTTATAAATACCTACTTAATGTTGCAGAATGAGAAGATGAAAGTGTGGTGTATACATTTGATGTTTTGACGGAGAAAAAAAAGTGAAAAGAAAAGCAAAAAGTTACATTTAACATAAATTGGTGGTGGATTTTTGAAGGTCAATTTAATAACTTCAGTTTAATCTAGAAAAAGCTGATAGCCAATTAATTAGCTGATATAAACCCCCACAGAAACTAACAATCTTTTACTTTATTCGATGCCGCATAACAGTTGAACTGAACCTAATGAATCTAATCCAAAGTGACACATATCTAAATAAATAAATAAATAGGGATCACTGAATTTTTAAAGTAATAAATACCTAAAAATATATATAATTCTGGAACTGAACATCAAACTAACCTAGAAAATCTAGGCAGGTTTGATTCTTTTTTATTATTTTCCTTCCTCAAAGTCACCTTGAGATTCTCAGTTGCACAATGACATTACACTGACTTTGTTTATGGAGCCTCCATGCAAAATGGTGATCAGAGATGGGCAGCATTTTTGTTACTTGCATTTAAAATATGTATTTCAATTACTTTTTAGTATTTTGTAACTGGTATTTGACAGTGCTAAAAATGTCAACTTTAATTAAATCTAATTACATACTTTGGAGTATGAAACGCTAGAGGGCTTATAATTTGGAAATAGGCCTTTTCACTTTAAACAGGAAGTGGTGGCATTCACTCAGTCACAGACTCACAGATTTGGGGACTTTAGCTCCAGGTCTATAGTGCTGAACCCGCTGTTGCTGTCCAGCCAAAACTTTTGCGTAAATAAATGCTAAAATGAAGAACAATACACTTTGACACAGAGGGGAACCTGGTTTCTTTGGCACTGTAGTGTTCTGCCAATAACGATAGTTTAAAACATCCTATGGGTGTTGATTAATTAGCCAAACTGATATATCGGTCAAGCTCTAAAAAACATATAATAAAATTCATTACTTCTTATGCGCTTCTGCAATATAAGAGTTGGAGTAACTCAACAACCTGGATATCACAGAAAATCTAACTTTATTCACCACTTTCTTCCGTTGCTCATACCCTAAACTTTTAATTCCAATACTTCCAACAGCACCTGAAGGCAGCATATGTTCTTCTCCTCTCTCTCCTTTTCTGCTCCATAAACATGTATAGTATATTACTGGGGGGAATAGCCTGTGATAATTAGGTGAGATAATAGCTTAAGTCAGTCAGTTGTTATGGCGCTGAATGAGGCCCAGTAAAGCTGTGCAAACAGCCCAGAAATAACCCACATTATCATCGCCATCATTCCTCGGCTGGCTCACGCCTGGCAAGCCAATGCCTCAGCATTTTTATGGCACCATTGCGCTGACGCAGGCCTGTTTCCTCTGGGAGCCAAGAACCATCCATAGTGCTGGATTACAGACAGGGCCCTCCACTCCGCCAGCTCGCTCTGCCTCTCGCTTTTTAAAATAAAGACTATTCATTACTGCAGAGGGACCCTGGGCCGACAGACCTGCCGTCTACCTGTGGTGTAGCACACCAAATTGAGTCAGCCTGCCTGCCCACCGACCAAACACTGCTCTCGCTCCATTTCCTGTTGGCATACATCCTTGCGCTGGATTTCAATTTAGAGAAGGCTGGGAGGGGAAGATGACAGATGCAATACATGGGCAGGCAGTGAGGGAGCATAGGACCACTCCAACAACTAACCCTGTCATCTTCCCACTGTAGAGAAAAACTCAAACCACTATTCATTTTACAAAACAATCAGACTAGCTCATACAAACAAACTCGACCAATAAACTGCGCGTTTTAGGACAAAACAGTAGAGCACAATTTCATACCAGCAAAGTGAGACTAATTCAGTTGTATTGATCACTCAGCTAACTGTGCAGCTCATCCACAAATACAGCACTGCAGAGGGCAACTCACTTTCATTGTTATAGTCTTCAAAATATGCAGAAAAAAATCTACTGTAGTAAAAAGAGTGAATGAGGTAAGTGAGAGAGTTGGGCCAAGGGGCTAATAACCGCTGCGCTTTTGCCCAGTGTGTGTGAAAAGCAAATGGCTTGATGGTAGACAAGGAAGAATACTCAATCACCAATTAGAGTCCATGGGAAAATTGGCCTTCCAAGATGGCATTAAGCCATCAAGAGTAATCACTAAGTGGGTTTACCAAGCTGTAAAAATCTGCCCGTATGGCTGTGTGCCTGTGTGGTGGATCTGAAGATATTTTTACCACTTGAAGCTCCGCTGTCGCTGGTGTACTAATGACTAGCTGATGCTTCGAAACTGCAAGACAAAGCCAAGTGACTCATGTAGCCAATTACGGACAAGTATGCTCTGTATTCTCTTTCATCAGGAGTAAAGAGCATCTCTACTTAAAGGTCAAAACAGGCAAATTGGAGTCTTGATGTTGGTATAGAGGGGCTGAAGAAGAGCGGGAGGGAAGAGATGAAGAGTACTGGGCAAGGGATAAGAATACTCCTCAAGAGACGTAGAGATATATTAAGTATTGTTTTGACTTTGTTGGATATAAATGGGAAGCCCCGAGGGGTCACCATGACTATAATACATATGTGTTAATTGTTAATGCCTTTGGATTATAATTTTGCCTCTGGGTAATGTAGTACGATTAATTAATTTGAGCTTAATTGTATTTCACAAAGGGAGATCTTTCCCTACCTGTGAGCTATAATTCACGCATTTCATAGTGATTTTATGACTGCACAGTAAATTCCTGTAATGTGACTGTTGTGCAGTTACTCACCACAGGGTCCTTTGTGTTGGATGAGAATATTCCTCTGCAGGGCACAACCCATCGCTCGCATCTCGCAGGGGCTGCCGTAGCTGTGGCCGTCGGATCCGCACACCGGGTCGGATGTTTGCGGGCAGGCCTCGGGGCACTCGCACACCGGCTCGTTGTTCTTGACCACGCACACCGCCCCATGATCGCACACCTTATCCAGGCAGGGGCTCGGTATGCTGAGATCTGAAGGGCCAATCACCCAAAAGATAGAGAACAAAGTTAGAGGAGAGGGGGGGGACACTGAACTGGGTAGATGGGAAGCAGGAAGAATATAAAGTAGAGGTTGGAGAAAGGTCTGGGGCTGAAAAGGGCATAGGTGACAGGGAGGTAAGTTAGAGCATAGCTACATGGGGAACTGCAGGTTTTGTGTTAGAAAAAGGTTTAGGAAGGAAAGGAGATATGATATAGTATGCAATACAGCCCTATTCCTGTGACCCCTTTGCTTCCTAAGCTTCCTATGTCATTTCCTCGACTTTGTGCCTATCCTGATGTATCCTGAATCTTTGAAGAGCTCCCGCCGAATCCGGTGGCATGAGGACAACGGATAAAAACATGGCCCTGTAGCACAATAGAGATGAAACAACCCACGAACAATGGTTGCACAGCCTTTTTTTTTTTTCTCCAGGCGCATAAACGCCTGGATTAATTGACGTTCCCAATATGCCCCTTCAAAGGCTGCCATTTGCATCTCAGTGAGAGCCACCGCTTCAGCCAAAGCTGGCTGAACTGACATGGAGGAGTGAGAAAAAGAAGAGGCAGAAAGTGTGAGAGAGCAAGAGAGAGAAAAAAATGTAGAGGACGGAGAAAGAGAAAAAATAAAAAAGAAACAGGCGAAGAGAAGAAAGAGCCCTCTGCTTAATAATTCAAAAAAGGCAAGCTCCTGGGCAGAGGCAGATATGAAATGTGAACATCACAGAGAGGTGTCTGCTTCAGTCTCTCCCTCTCACACACTAGCTCCGGCATGACTTCATTAAAACGAGGACTGGATTTTGCACCTATGATTCCTGGTAGCGGCGGGTGTAGGCTGTGCTGATATAACCTGACTTGATCAGGAGAGAGGAAACACATAAAAACTGGTATGAGCAATCTTTTGATCACAGCCTCCCATCCTGACTCAGTCATTCTTTACAGCTGTATTTGTCAATGAAAATATAACATGGCATTGTGTATATGGAGACAGGGTGCCAGTGTGTGTGTCAGTTTTGAGGGCTTGGCTTGATGGTTAAAAGTGTGAGCCTTGAGAATGGTATACACTCCGGTATCAAGAGTAAGACGATAGCAGGGCTCCACAGTGATTTTCATTTGGAAAGCTTCACGCATGAGGGGCGGATCACTCAGCTAAATGTGGTGTGTCTGCAGATTAGTGGAAAAAGCAGACGGAGGCATCACATAATTTTTGATGAGAAGCACTCAAAGAGGTGCATTTTACACCCAAAGTCAGGCAAACTTCCTTCTCCTGTAGTCTACCTTTTACTTGAGCTTTCGTTAGAGGGGTGGGGGTGCTGTTATGGAAACTGCCCCTTGTAATGACACCACCCATGGCTCCATCATTATCGTGACCATTATGGGATTAGATGGCATCGCAGGGGGGAGACTTGTCGTGCTCAGAGCCCCATGATTCATTTATCAGCTCGGAATCGTTCAGTAGTCCCTCTAATGCCGGTGTAAACTATCAACCGGTAACTCAGACAGAGGCAATTAGCTTGTTTCACTCTGATTGAAACGATGGGAGGGGTGCAGTGTGGGTAGTAAAGATCAATGTCACCCAAACATCTTTTATCTAAACTGTGGACCATCTTTCCAAATTATAATAGCAACTGAGGTACTAGGCATGGGAATTCATAAGTTTATTGATAAGAGTTTATTTATCCCCCATTAAAGGGTTTTTTGGGGGAGTTTTTCCTTATCTGCTGTGAGGGTCCAAGGACAGGGATGCTGTATGCTGTAAAGCCCTCTGAGACAAATTGTGATTTGTGATATTGGGCTTTATAAATAAAATTGAATTGAATAGAATAACAATGGTGTTTTTGATTCTCCTTATCAATCTTATTCTTGACCAACTCCTGATCAAGTTTCTGTATGTTATTACTAATGTGCAGCTTTGATAAAATTGTGGACAGGTGTGCAGGAGGTGTCACAGGCCACTGGCCCTCCTGTCCACTGATCCTGCATGGCACACACATGGTCTCTCTATTGGCTGTCCTACATGGCTGTCAGCCTAGGCGGGTTGGGCTTACCTAGGCGTAGACCCTGTATTAGTTTGACAGGGGGTGTGCCAAAGTAATTAAAAGAGACTATTTGGACCAGGTGGGGGACAGCAGTTGATGAGAGATGTTTTTGAATGTTTTGTTTGATATTATTGTCTGTGTTTAATGTCTATAAATGAACTGTAACATGAGGACCAACCCTAATCAGTGTCAGACCATGGAGAGCAAGCTGACTGATGGCCGTCGCATCAAGCAGGCCCAAATCCCTTACTTTTAGCCTGGCAGCCAAAACTCTCTGGTTATGTACTGTATGTACGGGCAGCCAAGCCCCGGAAGCCCTAGACAAGTGTTAGCCCTAAGTAATAGTATCAAGTGCTAAGGGTTGTGTTTGCCATGACAGAGGAAAATGTTCACAGGTAAGAGAGGAGATTTTCTGCACACTGTCCTATTGCTTGCAATAAACTTGATTTAAATTATAATGTTTCTGTCCTAAGCTACTGTTACTATAACACAATATTTACCCTCATGCTGATCAGTTGGGAAGTGGAAACACTTGTGTGTAAAGTGTCAAAAATGTGGCATTCTTGGTATTTAAGCCCATATTGTGTAGAAAGATTTTCCAGCATAGTGCAGGTGTTTTTACCCTTGAAACTACAATTATACAGACTTTACGAGTGGCACTATTGTCATTTTTCCTCATGAACTGAAGCCACGCTTTGGACTTTTTCTTCCTCCCTGCAATGACTCCCTCTTGTTGTAAGTTTCCAGCAGCATAGCCACATGAGTTCTATGTCATTATTTGCGATGCCAGTGTTGTACTGAAATGTGTTTCCACCATCGAATACTGTTTTCCCTTCTGTTAATGCAAGCAACCCCTTTTGGTGGTGAGGGTTAGGGCTAAGAGTTTGGGACATATTTAGGTAGGTAGTGACACATATCGATGGGGAAACAGTCTTTGACACAACACTGGCATTTATAAAAGGAACTGATAACTTCTGAATACCAGTCTGATGCATCAGACAATTTGGAACCGGTTCTTAACTGAACTGTTTCTTGATTCCAATCCCTATGAGGTACAGACATTAAAATAGTAAAAAGTAGAGCGGAACATATACTGTGGGCTGCCCACTACCTCCTGCTGTTTTTTTTAAATAAGTTGTGGCTGTGATCAAACAAATCTTTCCGGATCTTGAGCAAGGACACAGGCTGTCCCATTTTGGGAAGTGAATGTTTCAGATTAGAAAACAGCCATTGATTTCTGTGTTTTGATGCCAAGCTGCTGTTTCAAAAGAGCTTGGAGGTGCCACATAAATATGTAAGCTATTTAGTGCTGCTTAATTTGGTACAGCTTCAAAAACAATTGATTCCCCGTGATCTCTTTTCAACTCCTTGCATGTGCCTGTGACCGTGCATGCGCGTGTAACAGTCGTAAGCTTGTGATCCAAGCTTAACTGTACAACCTTGGCCTCCATAAAAGTTCACCAGCCCACTTCCCAAGGACGAGCTCCTAAAACACAACTGCAGCCTCCGATAACGCCTTAGTCTCCCATTCTCTTTGTTTCACACACATAAAAAAGATGAAAGAAAATTCCCCTCCAAAACTAATTTTTTATCATCCTCTACCTCTGGGGGGCAAAAATTCTGCCTGATTTATTAACTGGAGAGGGTGTAAGAAAAAAAAAACCTTAGACAAAACTCCCCAAGTGTAAAAATCTTATGACACAGTTAAAAAGCTGTCTTTCCCTCTCTCTTGGATGCAGGCGGAAGCTTTGAAATGGCAGCCTGTCACAACTAAGGCTTGTGGGATGGTGTTCACAAGCCTGCTCCAGCTCTTTCTCTCTCCCTGGTCTCCTCCCAGACACTTAAATACATCTTCTTCATGCATGTATCAGTGTTTCTGTCAGACAGGTCCAGAATAAACCAGCGTTGCTGGGTTTCAACCAAGCTATTTCTATGTGAGAATTAGCTTGACAGTTGACTGGGAACATCTGTAGTGCCAAACACATGAGTGCAGTAGCCAAGGCATTGTTTTAGTGGCTGAGCAGGTGCAGTGAGTGGTCTGCTGTGGCAGTGGGGGAAAGTCAGGAGAAACAGTAAAAAAAAAAAAAAAAACATGAATAATTCTTTCTAATCAAGGATTCTGCTCTGCTAGTGTGCACTCAGCTATGTGTCTGTACCATGACACCGGTTGAGACGACTTTACATTCTGGGTGTCATCTCAGTCCGTATCCTCTCCTGCCAGCCACCGTGTAACTTTTCTATTCTAATTAGTGTGGTATTTTAATGGCATGGCCCCGCTTCAGGGCTCGGAGGGGATTACTTCAGGTTAGACCGCGTTGTGTCAGCTCGCCCCAGGTGAGGCAACGGTCGGCCAAGTTAGAAAAAACTGAGAGGACACGTTCCCCTGATGCCCTGATACCTGCTTACCTGTCTGTCTGAAGTATCATTACTGCCCACTTAATGGTGTTATCTGACTGGTAAAGTGGTGAGTACGCAGTGTAACCTCTAAAGCTTAACAACCCCTCGTTAGGTTGCCATGATGGCACAGCAAGCTCCGACAGGACGCTGGCTGTGATTGTGTGGTTGCCGCAGTGAGCAGGCGTACGCTGTTAACCCCCCGTAACATGTCGGTGAAATGCTGGGAGATTATTTTGGCGAGAGCTTCCTCCCATCTCCGCTCAGCTCATACATATGTTAATTGGACTTTTCCCCCCTCGGGTCTGTGTGCAATTCCAAATCACTCCCCGTATTATGCAGGGCAGTGAATCAGTGTAATCCAGGTGATGCTTGCAGTAGCCAACTGGCAGGGAGAATCACCTACAACTGCAACCCATTACAACACAGGACTCCAATGGGGCACAGCCAATCTGCAGCAAGCCCCGCCCTCTGTGTTTCTTCACCTGCAGGGCTTTGATCCGACTCCCTTTGCCTCCCTCGCATTAAAAACATTTATGTATCATATTAGTCGAGGGAGAG